TTCTCGTTAGTGCAGTTGTTGCTCTGTTTGTATTGTACGCGTCTTCGTTTTTTTTTCTCAATGTTTCATATTCCAGCTCGAGTGTAGGTATACTACGTGTGGTGGAAATTGATCATTTGATACGAATCGCATCGTTAATTGCAAGCGCTTCAAGTATGAATGTTCGAGCCACGGAGTTTTAACGATTTCTTTATTTATGTTTTAATCTGGGAGGTACCAACATGCATAGTCGTAAACGGTGGCACGTCTTGATTAAGTTATATAAAACTAGAGCCAGTTATTAAAGCCATAATTATTGCAAATGATTTTTATTAGCACTTTAATGATTTAGTTCTTTATTAAGGTGTAATTACGAAATATCCCAAGTGAAAGATCATCAATTTCGGTTGGATGTTACCGCAAGCCCTAAAACTGGTAGCATTGCCAACTGATTAATAAAAAGTTAAACGTTTTGACTTCATAAATCAATTCATCCGTCAGAGACAGCGTCTTTGTTGGTAGTGTTTCTTTTTATTGTTGGGGTATCCTGCGAGGCAAGTAAGTTTATGGCCGTCAAGACGTTCAAAGGACGACCAAAGTGCATATGCATTCAAAGCGTCAGTGCAGTATCGCCGCGCGAGTGACACGTTCCAAGATATGGAGTGCTACTGATTTCTCAAAGCTCCACCGTTTGTATTATTCGCATCGGCAATCCGACCTTTTAACTATCAGTTAATGAACCCGCGAATCTATAAAGATGCCGACGCTGCGGTCCGTTCTTGGCGCGGCGTGGGTTAAACGCGGCAATCGAGTTGGATACAACAATATGGAGCCGCCGCTGGGAAAAACGAGAATGTGTCGTAACGCGTCTTCTGCATCTAACGGAAGCATTTCAGTAATTTCCAGCGTTATGTGATTACCTCGACGGCGCAGCGTTTCGATTTAATTTTTCTCTTAAAAACGTCCGACTTTCTCCATTATCTTAATTTATAAACCAATAACGGTGACTTAGGGAATAATGCCTCCGTTCGAACGGTGCCGCCGCCACGAAGAAAAACTCTCTCACACATTGCGCGGATGAATAACGACAACGGGCAAACGCAAGAATGGAAACCGACGAGCCGCGCGACGACAAACAAACGACCATTGCGTCGATAACAAGAAACGCAACCGGTTTCCAAATTTACCCAATACAACGTTAAGTAATTTAAATTGACATTCTTTTAATACGAAACTAATGCACTTGTTTCCAACTACGCGGGCCGCGGCTATAGGATATGTTAATGTTAATCTTGTATCAAAAATCTGAACAACGACATTTTTCGATTTTTGAGGCTTTTCCCATTTGCGGCGGTGTGTGTAAACTAATCAAAAATGCTAAACAACTCCAAGTAAAATGTAAAAATTAAATCTATAACAAGCTATTTTTTTTCTAGTCTCACCTTACTTAACTTCTTTGAAATCTGATCTCGGACTTATTCGATACTTAAAAAAGCTCCAACAAGTCGCATGTAATTATCATTCATTATGATGTGTCACAATTCGTTGTACAAAATATCGTCATCGTTTTCTCAGACGGAAAGCAAGATCAGGAAACATAATTCATAAAAATTAATGTTTGCTCGTTTTGTTTCCAATTTCGAATTTTTTGGCGTCTTAACTAGCTGAGAGAGTTACAAATATCTAAGTGTACGCGTGCGTATTTAAAATCAAGAAGAAAATACGAGCAACGCGATGATATAAATGGAGTACGTATAGACGCTGAAAGAAGAACGAGCAAAACAGCGAACAAAAAACGGACGCGACGGACACAAAAGTGGTCCACAAGAAATTTACATCCAAAGGAATAAGTTGACATGTCTACTTATCTAAGAGCCAAGTAAAGAATGTCCTTATACGTATTTAGATTGTGTGCATGTGTGTATGCGGCGCAAGGAAACATAAAGGCAGAACGTATGTAACTATAGAAGAGATATAGTGTGGAGAGCCGGGCACGCCAGTTTCGTTCGTCGGGCACAAAGGAGAGCCGCCCCGGATTTTTCTTGCTGTTTCTGTTATATAAAACAATGTTAAAGAAATTGTGACTTCTCAAAGATAGAATAGAATGGCCGTGACGTTTTCGGTGTCGCGGCGGCTTTCTGTGTGCGTGTATAATTTATTATTAAATAAAACGCTTAAACGTTGTGTGCGTCGCGCGGTTCTCATACACCTCTCTTAATAGGGACAATCGGGTCTTAAAATACGAACACCGAATCCTAATTAAAAACTACTGCCACGCGGATCATCTCGCGCCGAGAGTGAACGCTGATCAATTTGCCGCGCGAAGTAAATTACTCGAAGATGTTGCAGCCAAAGCGATTTTTGGTTTTCTTATAGACTGCGCCTGGAAATGCGCTAATACAATCGAAACGAATGATCACGTTTCTATTTTGACATTTGCAAGTCACGCTATATAAAAGCTTCTGTGCGTGTCGTTTTTGACACATGCAGAACGTTGTAAACGCATTTAAACGCCTATAAACGAATCTGGTAGCGAACTCCATGGGAAAAGATGCTGGGAGGATGTGCGCTAACCTCGCCATCACGCATATAAACAATGTGATTATTTAAAAACCAATTAAGGCATGTCTAAGTAATAATTTTGATTCAAAAATATTACACTGTACCGGATTATTGTAATTATTTATTAAGAAATTGACACAAATAAAAATTACTAGCAACACGAAAAGTGCAAACCGTGTAAATAAATTACGCCAATTTATTTTTAATTAACTAATTTTGCATCCTAGTTCATTAATTAAACCAAAATGTGTCTAGCGTAGAAATAAATTATATCATCCAGCTTCGAATTTCTTCATCTCTTGTCGCATGTGACTGAAAGATTCATTGGCGTTCGGTGTGAAGCTCGCTAAATAATTTATTTATGCGCTTCACCTGGTTTTGGGTTAATTTGTTAACATCGATGGTCGCTGCGGAATCACATTACATTACCGGCTGGAGACGAGCTACGCATAATAAGCCCGTTTTTATGTGTTCGACGAAAACAACATACCTAGGCTCTATGAAATTATTAATTAATGTGAACATAATATATCAATTCGTGGCCGGCTATAAAGTCGCCCGGACAAAACCGATTAGCATAGGAATTATAATAATTATAAACGCGTTAATTATTATAGATGTAGAAATAGGATGAGAACCGATTTTTTATTGGCGCTCTTTCACGTCAGTGGAGTCGAAGCTTTTATTTTTAATCGACTATGATTTGATAGGCATTTTAAGCTACGTGTTGTCCACACACTATGAAATTGATTTTTATGACACCCAAATTGTAATCGTTTTGTATTTTTTTATTCTCAGGATTTAAAAATTGCAAAATGTTTTCCAAACAGATTGTGTATAACACGAGGAGAAAAATTATTAAGATTCTTTTATGATGAGTCAAAATTTAATTTTTAGCGTTGTAAACAAGTAAATATTAACAAAATTCAGGTCAAACATGTAAAGAACTCTATGACAAATTGCAAAAAACATTTTTTTAAATTGTTTTAATTTTCTGATTGCCATTTCTTTAAATCTGAATGTATATCTACTAATTTAAATAAATTGAACATGGAGAAGTTGATTAATTAATTTTACACAAGTACAACTTTTTGCGATCGGCCGCAATTACTTATTTATCATCGATGAATCCACGCACACGATGCATATGTATGACTTTTGCTGATTTCCAGTTTCATACGCAGTTACGACATCCGTTCGGCTGCTGTTATAATCCATATCAAATCATTTTCCACAAGCTACTAAAATCGACAGTGATTGCGGAGGCAACGCAAACAAATCTAAACGAATCGAAAAGCTTGCAGTGCGCCTGATGAGCATATTTTAAGACGTGCATCAAAGCAATAGTCGTGGATTTTATGAGAATGGCATGCGAAGAGACGTGGTAATAGCGGAAGAGCCACGGCCAGTGCACAAGCAATCGTCTTGTGTGCTAAAGAATGATCGTGTGCAATAAATTTACGATGAAACAATAAAAACACAAAAATACCGATAAGCCAAGTAACACCGTGAATTGTGTTCGATTATAATTGGCCATTGTTCCTCCGTCGTAATACTACCCATAATTATTAGTTACGCAAGTTAATAATGAAAGTCAATTTAATATTTTTCTTTCTTTGCGTCCTAGGTAAGTACAGAATATATGTGTGTGTATACTATACGCGAAGACGAACCGCGCGCCGCTCATATACGCCTATTAATTTTCGTAATTTTTTTAATGCCCCGTCCATTCTATACCCATCCCGCGTGTAATGGACAAACGAAGGAACGGAGGCGAAGCAACAACGCTAGGATATATTCGCCTTTTGCTCGTGAACAATTTATTACCGTTTTCTATGCTCACTACGTTCATAAATTATAAATGAGCACATTGGAAAAGAAGATTGCCGGATCCTCCTTTTAGCTTTACCACGTCGTGCCATCGAAAGTTCAGGCGAACTAAAGCTGGATCGGTAAATGATGGCATCCACACCACACAAAAGCTAAACTCTGCGGCGAAAAACACTTCAAAACATCAAATTGTGCGAAAAACCAACGATTATTAAATTAGTTCAAATGAATTAATCATAAATCATTGTTGAGAAGGCACACAAACGCAAATTAATAAATCACGACGAAGAGTTTACTTTTGAGATTTTATATAAACGCTTGTGTGACTAATTGCGCTGGTGCTATTAGCGTTCATTCGCTTTTCGTCTGTTTATATTCACGGGTTGTTATCGACAATGACGGATATTAATCGAGACGTTGCCCCCGAAATTATTGCGAGACGCGCTGATTCGGTGAAAAATTCATCTCATAAAGATAAGGACAATGCATCAATATAATTCCTACAATCAAAACATAGTAAAACAAAGTAATTAATTCATAAAATTTGTAAGTGTCATGGGAAAATATGTTTTTCATTTTTCACTATATAAACTCAAGAAAAAATTGCACAAATTTCATTATAAGATATTTTAGCATAATGACAACTCTTCATATTATTGTCGTAAGTATCTCCGTTTAAATATCAAAATAAAATTAATAATCAACTTTTTAATAAACAGGTACTCGCTATATTTTCTGGAGTTTCATACGCTGGTCGTGTTGATGACGAAAACTTTGTGTGTTCCGAACAAGGACGATTTAAAGACCGTAGAGATACGAATTGTAGACGTTACCATTTGTGCTCCGCTGGAAACGGAGGAAAATGGGTAAGGAGCAGTTATGACTGCCCTGAAGGAACAGTATTTGATGGATCTTTGGGACACTGTTCCCTGGGTCCATGCGAAAAAGATTCTTCTTCTTCAGAATCTTCTTCTTCATCGTCAGAATCCCATTATGATGGTGATGATTACAACTGCAAGAAAATAGGACGTTTTGATGATACGAAAGATCCTTACTGTTCTGGTTACTACGAGTGTAAGAAACACCACAAGGGATTTTTATTCGGTGTGAAAATTCCATGTCCACCACCGAGTAAATTCAACCCTGATGATAAACAGTGTTCACATCAGTATGTCTGTCGAAGGCATTTTGAATGTACACGTGAAGGACGGTTTGATGATGGAACTGACGACAATAACAAGCGATACTTCCTATGCTCGAAAAATAAAAAAGGACAGTATGTTAAAAGTGTTTACACTTGTCCGTTGTACAGTAGATTTGTATCAGATTTTGAACTGTGTGCTATTCCAAATGAGACTGCTTCTGATGAGATTGAGATTCATGATCATAACTTGCCTGTCGAAGATTGGGATAATTTGGATTCATTTAAGTGCAGGTCCAGAGGTTTCAATGCAAACAGATATGATAGTACATATAGGTCCTTTTACTTTTGTGACGTTATGTCAGATGGCAAGTTTGCTAAGTATATATTACTTTGTCCGCGATATTATTACTGGAATGGGGATACTAACTTGTGTACTCCTGGACGCCGTTCGAGTTAAAAAAAAGTAAAAAAATATGTTTTTTTTTGTTTTTAATTGCTTTGATGTAATTGAATTTTGTTAAGATGCTTGGATATGAATATATAAGTAATAGCATTAGTAGAATATGTGTAATTTTATGCCAAATATTTATTATTTTGATGAACAATAAAATTGCTATAACTTAACAAAATATCACAGTATTATTGTCTCTTACCGAATCTCCAGTTATTCAAACATGATTTTCGGTTATATAAACATCCCTCGAATATATTTGGTAAGACAATTACTTAAATACCGAATTATGGCTAAAATGCCCTTTTTGAAACAATTAGATATTTTCTATTAGTTAAAACAGATTAATAATGATAATATAAGGAATTTTATGTTGCGTGCAAATTAATTTTGTGTTTATGTATTTTCGGGGCTTATGGTTTGTAAATAAATAATTAACTAAATTTTATAGTTACTTTTATTATGAGGTGTTAATATTTTAATGTAAGTTTGCAGCAATAAAGAAAGTTTAATACATCTTATTATTAAACGACCTTGACTTTCGTATTTGATTACTTAGAGAATTTGTAAATATAATTTCCATAAAGATTATTATATTAAATATTTGAACATAATTGCGTAGAATCTGTAATTTGACTTCTTCCGGAGGTATTAAAACGTCTGACAATGCCTTGGAAGGTTCATTATCTCAAACCACAGCCATGAGGATTTCCTCGATCTATTTAGTAAGTTTTTTCCAATATTTCTGCATATTAATAATATCATATTTTGACAGGTTGTTCTTCTTGCGAGTTTTCATTTGACAAAAAGTGAAGACTCCTCCTCTTCCTCTTCTTCCTCTTCATCCTCTTCATCCTCTTCTTCCTCCTCCTCTTCTTCTTACTCAGACGACGACTTTGAATGTTCCGAAACTGGCCGATTTGCTGTTGACACTGACCCAACATGCAAACAATATTACTCTTGTAGAACAGGAAATGAAGGACAATGGCAGAAAACAATTTATGATTGTCCGGATGGAACCATTTTTGACAACAATTCCGGACACTGCTCATCAACAGTAAAATGCCATAGAGATTCTTCAGATTCAGATTCCTCCGATTCTTCTTCAGACTCTTCTTCAGATTCATCTTCAGATTCATCTTCAAATTATGACAGCGGCGAATTCAATTGCAGGAAACCAGGACTTTTTGATGATGTCTACGATCCCACTTGTAGCAATTACTACGAGTGCAAATACCAACATGGTGTATTGTTTTCTGACCGCCGCCCCTGCCCACCACCAAGTAAATTTAACCCAAAAGAAAAGCACTGCAGCAAGAATTATATCTGTCCCAGACATTTTCATTGCTCAGGAAGAGGACGTTTTGACGATGAGACTGATCCGAATAACAAACGTTACTTTCTTTGTATTAAGAAGCAAAATGGAGACTTTTCCCAAACAATATATACGTGTCCTTTATACAGTAGATTTGATCCTGTTGACAATGTGTGTGTTGTTCCTGACGAATCATTATCAGACGAAGAAGCAATTCACGATCATACCTTGCCAGTGGAAGACTGGGATCATGCGGATTCGTATAAGTGTACAGCAAGAGGTTTCTTCACAAATACACATGACCAAAATTGCAAATCATTTTATTTCTGCGATGTGAACGCTGATGGGAAATTTTCGAAACATGTTTTAGTTTGTCCACGGGGATATGGATGGAATAGAGATACAAACTTATGTACTTTTGGTTATTCTTGTTAATATGTATATTACTTTTATGAAATTATAATTAAATAAAGAAATTCAAGTATTAATTCAAGTTTATTTCTTGTAATATTAGTATATATTACACCATAGACCAAATAAAATTAATTTCAATTAATTTTTAGTAGAAATATTGAAAGTTATTGCAACTTACTTGACTAATTGGCTCTAAAAATCGTTTTGAATCAATTTTAAATTATTTATAATAAATATTTGACTAAAGTTTGCTTTAAAAATATTGAGATGTTCTATATTTTATAAGAAATAAATAAATAATTTTAATAAAATCAGTTATACTCTATGATGTCCTATTCTCTGAATAAAAATAATGTTTATTTATTAAAATGATGGTTTCTAAAGTTTAATAAAATTATTAACAATATTTTCTTTCATTTCTTTCATTTTTGATTTTTCTTTGTATTAACATAAACCAACCTACAACACTTTACCAAATTTATTATCTTCATTTGTGCAGCGATTAATATCAAATTATCAAAATTCGACGTTTGAGATTATTTTTACCAGAATATTATGCATAAATATTATGCATGTTTTTCTTCAATATCCATTAACGTGCAAATATATGCCGGCTGTTTGCTTATCTTTTACAACCCTCTGAGATAGCAAAATTTTCCATGTTGCTCATAACTGAACAAGTGATCAATATTTAATTAATGAAGTAATAAAAATTTAAAATCACGTAAATATGCTTTTCATAAATGCATCGTTGATAATTTATTCTTTTACAGATGCTTTATTGTTCTTGTATAAAATGTTCAAGTATAAAAGAGCAGGATAACTTCGATAACATCACATTCACTCAGTGAAGTAATCATGAATACACTCACAGCTTCCTTAGTAAGTTATAAAGAAAATTCATATTAATATTTTTATACATTTTTCTTTCTTTTTTCTCTAATAGATCGTGCTCATTGCAACAATTCATCTTGCAAGAGGTGGAGAAACCGACGACTTTGAATGCTCCGAACGTGGTCGTTTTGCCGATGAAACCAACTGCAGACAATACTATTCTTGCCGTTTAGGATATGGAGGACAATGGCAAAAATCTAAATTCGACTGTCCCGATGGTACCGTTTTCGACCAAGACGCTGGACACTGCTCATCAACCGCCTCATGCAGCTCTGAATCTTCTTCATCATCCGATTCCTCCTCCGATTCTTCCTCATCCGATTTCTCTTCATCCGACGAAAATGGCGAATACAACTGCAAGAAACCCGGCCTTTTCGAAGATTCCAATGATCCCACCTGCTGCAATTACTACGAATGCAAATATCAACATGGTGAATTGTTCTCTGTCCGCCGTCCATGCCCACCACCCAGCAAATTCAACCCCAAGACCAAACACTGCAGCAAGACCTACACCTGTACCAAACATTTCAAATGCACAAAAGTGGGACGTTTCGATGATGAAACCGATGAGAACAACAAACGTTATTTCCTCTGCGTGAAGAAGAAGAACGGTGTCTTTGTCCAGACTATCTACTCCTGCCCTCTGTACAGTCGATTTGATGCCATTGACCATATCTGTGTCATTCCCAACGAATCACTCTCTGACGAAGAAGAAGTTCATGATCACACCTTGCCCAATGAAGACTGGGATGCATTCTCATGCCCTGCCAAATGCAAGAAATACCTTTGCCACTAATCGCAACAAAAGCTATGAATTGTATTATTTGGACATTCTTATTGATTTATATTTTTAAAGAAACAATGTACTTATCAAACAAATAAATAATAAATGCAATATTATATTAACTTTTGTTTTTACTTTGAATTTTACATTTTCAGATAATATTTCAAAAATTTCTCAAACGGTGTCAAAAGTAAACAGTTCTCTGAATAGACGAAGTTTGAGTTCACATTAGACGGGCAGAAATCTATTAACAAATAGTGAGTGAAGTAAAATGAATAATTATGGCACCGCCTCTACACGTCTTGTGGAATGCTACTGTATCTGGATCGTAATTTGTAAGACGTATTATTAAGCCGCAGGCTTGCATATATTTCACTTTATTATTGTAGTTAGAAGCTACTTGTCCATTCGGAACAATCGGGGACATACATTTTAATTGTGCGCCTTCAGTGCCTTGCTCCAACTACGTTATGCCAGAGGACGGAAAACCGAGTGGAAAAAGCAACCGATGCATCGAGATGACGGCGGCGTGTGATTATGATGATTATATGAACGAAGAGTTCATTTTGTTGATATACAAAAATCACCGCAAGAAATCAACTTTAAATTGTACAATATGCATTCCAGAAATGTCGTTGCCTTCTAATAACCTGAAATGTTTCTAATTAAGTAAACCATCCATTTAAAAACGACATTTTTTCGTTAGATATTGTAAAAATTTAAACATTTATAAAGTGTGTTTGAATTTAATGCATTCACCATGTTACGTACGAAATGTTTCTTCTTGTCTAAATTTATAGCCAGCTATTTAGAACTAGAAATACTTAAGACTCAACGATGTTCAGTTTTTTTTATATTAAATATTTTATGTCACCAATCATTTATTGACAGTTTAGGTAATTACCAATATACGATTAAACTGCAATTATTGGTGTATTACTAAAATTTAATCACAAATTTTTACATTGTGCGTTTATAGCTGCAGGTTTTGAAATGAAACATTTCGGTTTAATGCGTCGATGTATTTCTGAGCATCAAATGCGCTTGCCAATTGGTATTTACTAGCATCGAAGGCGACAAGTCTTTCGGCGTGCATCAAAGCATAGCAGCACATAATTCTATCATCACATTCAGCTGGAAACATGTAACAACTAAAATAAAATGTAAATTTATAATCACCGTTTCGGCCAATTCACTAATCCAACACGAATATTCAATGTACCACAATGATTAGTGATTATTAGTTTAAATGATGACATCGGTCTTTGAAGGCGCCATTCTTGCCGCCGATGAGCGATTATCGCCTTTTGTTTCGTATAAATAAATATTTTAATGCGCGGAGATGAAACGAATCTGGGTGCAATTCTTGTGATAGTATTTATATGCGTGGAGCAGAAATAAGAAGAATGCGAGTAGCTTAATCTGTTAGGTGGTCGTTCTATTAGTGGGGAATGTTCCTGCCATTGTGCCCGACTGAAGTGTACTAATGACTATGCTATCGTGGCGGCATTGCCAGGGCAGGTATTTAAAACATGGCATTTGCATGCGGCAAAAAACAACAAGCAACGTGTGACCCTAAACCAAACCTTCGTCTGTCGCCAGAGTATCTGACGCTTGTGATTTGTCACTGAAATAATTCAAATCGTTCGATTTTTAACTACAATTTAAATTGTTACATTGTATAATTTCATTTATAAGCAGGTGTACCTGCAGAAAACCTGCATATATTAACTAAACTTAGAAAATATATAAAAAAAAAAAGTTCTCGTGCGCCTGCGTGTTTACTTCGCATCCTAATTACAACGAAGACTTGAATATAATATCGAGTGCGTTCGAGGCAACTGCACCACGACTACAATTTAATGAAGATAAACACCGGCCGATGGTGGTGATTATTAAACGTGTGTGCATTCGCTGCGTGGATTACAGAAAAACGTCTTATCACCATCAAGTTTTATCGAAAACTGGTTTGACAATGCAACGAAAAAGACGTTGATTTCATCAGAAAACCAACAAAAACCAAGCACACATCTTGACGCACTGGTTATTTTTGTATCGACATACATTATTCGACTTTTGACCGTTGCAACTGTGCATTAAAAACGTTCGCTAATTAGATTAGCAATTAATTATAGTACTGTATGTATAATTATAACCAACTAGTAATTACTAGTATTCTAACTGTATTTATATAAATTGATATACATGAAAGAAAGCACAAACTAGTTTAGCGAATGGTTGCGTATAATATTTACAATTATGTGAATCCAAATTACATTTCATTAACAAAGCCTGTATTATCGGAAATTGTAATCATAATAAATCGATTACACATAAATCTATTCAAATTATAATTATTTCAATCTATATTCGGAGTATTTGATAGAGATTAACAGAATATACCATTTATTAGTTTTTCTTTTTTTCTCTTTGCAATACTTGACTGTGTGTTGAACAAAACTTCATTTCACGTAACTAGGGTAAACAATAGCGAACCCTTTTGCACACAGCGTGCTGAATATGAAGTGCTCGTAACTCGCAGGCGTCTAGTGGGTAGGTACAATTCCTTACAATAAATTGGTTACATTGTTCTGACGCGCAGTGCCCGCCGCGCCCCAGAAGGGGGGCAAATCATATTATTAAAATCGATTTCCTCGTATTGTCGCATTCGTGTTTTCGCCGCGTCAAGATGAAGTTAGTTTCAAGTAGAGCACCCGCACGAGAATTATGAATTGCATGTGAGTAAATTGTGTAAACCCACCCCCCGTTGTCTCAAATCACACATCAACATTGTTCTACGTTGATATTGTGCTGCCGCTGACAATTCCTAATGAGCAATACATTCCCCTGCATTGTACACGACGCAATTGTGTGCATGTATTGATACAATGCTCCCCGAAAAGTTGTGCGGGAATAATCGTGCGCGTCTAGGACGTGATCATAATGCCCCGGCTTGCGGGAGAATTATGAAGCACCACACACATCATTTACGTCATTTGTTGTGCTCGCATGTGTGTGGAAAAGGTAGACGAAGATGATGAATATCTCTAATGAGTTATATTGTTATAAGGTAAGTAGGAGCGACGCACCGAGCAAATATTTGATGTTTGTGTTTCTGACCAGCGCGCAGCTGCGGAAGAGAAGTTAAAGAAGCTTCGCATGTCTCGTTAATAATAAGCACGACAAACAACAATTATGGCTTCGTTAACATTCCACTTCCAGCGGGTGACCAACAATACTGATCGCGTTTGATTCAATATTTATTTTGTTGCTGCCGTGGACAATACGCTAATATAATTTTAATGATTTGATGATATTTAATATTTATTGACGATAGAAATTCATGAAATTATTTTATCATGCATACGACATTCTAAAAAGAAAGCTCGTCAGAAAAAGCGCATGCTAATCTTGTAAAGACTTCAATAGTTGATTGAACTCGCATCTTACAAAAAGGTTTTCCTTTGCTTCATCAAAAAAACGACGCAGTCTTCATCCAGCTTTTCTTATAATTACATATTTTCTTTCAACCTCTTTTATACATTTTTTTTTTGCTTTATGTCGGAGTTGTCAGAAGAAGAAGAAGGGTCTTGTTGTGAAACGAAAGTCTATTATCACTCACTCCCTCACTCCGCGCCCGGGCGCTGGTTTTTATGATTTTCTTTCGCAACGACGTTACACTGTTATTATGCGCGTGCTAAATTTGCAAAACTCGGTAAACAAATACACAGTTGCCTTTGATTTTTTAAAAAGTATACGTGTAGCCTTTATCCTTTGCACATGCTGTGCCAGTAAACGAAAAGATGACTGCCGTAGAGCATCCACTTCGAACGCTTATTAGATAATCAACCAAGTGAATGAGAATCGCGTCCTCCCTCCGCCATGAAGTTTGCACCGAATTGCGTATATTGTGTCGCCGTCGGGGGGCGAAATAAAAATACGCTTGGTGCTTGGAGTTCGGCGGAGGCGACGACAGCATAAAAGGCGCTCTGAGGACGAAGCAAAGTAATTAGGTTGTCGTAAACACTCAGTCGCAGTCGCTCGACGCATTGCGAACACAAGTAAGTTTGGCTTTTGTTGTGTGATCATTTGATATTTGTGTTACACGGGCTCGTTTATTGTTTGCGCTGGAAACCAGTCAGCGTGGAAAATTACGTGATAATTTGCTCATAAATTCTTGCGGATATTTAATCGCTACGCAGTCGACCCATTTCCTATTAATACGCGCACAGGAAATCGATGACAATTTGTGCGAATAGGAAAACGCCTCAAGTCTCCCGCTTCGAAAGATTCATTGTCGCATTTCTCAACGTTGTTAAAGATATTTTTGTTTTGTTTAATTCAACATTGACTGATTGTTTCGTTACGCGTTCCTCGACTCCACACCAACGTCACTATTTGTAAACGATTGAATCGTCGAGATTATCCCATAAGGTGACAACTCACTATTAATTATTGTCATGCGCGCGGAAAACTTGTAATTGAATGTCGGCCTTCACCAGCAAACTTATTGGATTCGAGACTAATGATAAAACGTCTGCAACTTTCAAATCCCCGTGTGTCGCCCTGGAAAATACGCGATAATCGAATAATTGTATTCTTTCTACACCTGCACCACCAATTTTTTAAGATTAACGTAGTTTTAAGACAAAAATAAATTCTCGGCGGTTGCAATCGAAGAATGTAGTAGTGATTCGGTAGTCGACAGGTACACCTCCGCACAACCTAACGATCTACACATGTATTTAATGATTGTTTGTTGAAGTAACACACGAAGCGAAACATGAGCGCCAAATGGGCCACAAAACATTCAGTTTGCGGCAGTAGGGGCCCGGACGTATTGTAATGCGCCGGCGTATGAATGAAACCGTGCCCGTAGGTGTGTGTTACCTGTTCCTCGGTCTGTCAGTAGTCGTCGTTTAGGCCCTTCGTGGGTGTTTATGTTTCTATCAAGTGGGCGCTCGAATGAGAGACAAACAAGTTGATGTCTTCACTACTACCACCACTACCGCATCACTTGCATGATGTATTTTATAACACTATTTAATTATTTGTCTATTTTTATCCATAGTATAAATTAAACTAGATAAATAAAAAAATAAGCACTTGATGTCTGTGACAG